CCCACTCCACAGCCATCACCTTGTGTCTGTGCGCTGGGCCGGGACGGGAACGCAAAGCTTATGACTCAGATCTCTGCAGTAACCATTAGATGTGACTGCCTTTGGGATTTGGAGCCACTCCTCCAGTGTCCCAACCTTACGGTGAAACCATTTCCCTGACAGCAGGGTGACCCCTGGGGGTGGAGAGCATTACATGTTGCTTGGCAGTGCCCGGTGGTGCAGAGGAATGCTGCTGTGTGCGGTCAGAAATCCCGCCGTTGCTAATTAATTGAGAAGAGGAATTGCAGCCTCCTGCCCAAGAAAAAAAATGGCTGGACAGTAAGTCTGCGCTGTCCTGTTGAAGCACAGGAAGCTGGTGGGATGAGTCAGGCTGGGGCCTCCACCCTCACTGCAGTGCTCGGTAGTGCTGTGGGAGAGGCTGCACTTCAGAGAGCACAGTCATGTATTTCCCAGCACCCTCATTCTCACGCCTGCTGGGAGCCACCTCGAGGCCTCAGCCCTGCACCAGCATCATCAGGAAGGCGACAGAAGGAAAGACAGAGCTGAGAGCCAAGAGGACGTTTGTGCTAAGGATGCCTGGGCGCTTGATGGCAGTCATGTCCACCCTTTTTGCACCCACTATGCGGTCAGGAAGTTCCTGGCACTGACCCACTGAAGGAGAAATTAGCTGCCGCAAAGTCCCAGCAGGATGTATTAAGGAGTACAGTAAATCACATTTTCTGAATGGACACAGGATGATTGGAATTTGTCTCTGCCACTGTTCTCAGTGAGAAAAATTCAGAGTTTTTTACTCGTTCCTCCATGGGGGTAGAAACCATCACAGGTCAATAGATTCCCTCTGACTCACGCCTGAGTGAACTGAGTGTACTTTCTAAAATGTGCAAGCCAGAACGCCGTGTCTAGTGCGGGGGTGAAGGAGAGGGAAGGAGCACAAGTAGTTTTCCACCCAGCCCAAGCAGCCAGGGGGTAGGGGAGCAGCATCAGTTTAGGTCTTCCCCAAAGGTCTCCAGGGGCAGTTAGGTCCATTGTTTTGCCCTCTCCACACTGACCCAAGGAGAACATAGGCTACAACCTATAAAAGCGCAGGGGTAGAGTGACACTAGCCTGAGTTTTTCCAGAAGTCCTGGAGTGCCTCCCTAAGATACAATGCCTCTTGGAGCTCTCACTGGAGCAGTCACTAGATAATTGGGACCCTGACACAAAGCCAGATAAAGTTAATGGAAAGACTCCCATTGGCTGCAGGAGGCTTTGGATCAGGTTGTAGCAAAGCCCATTGTATTCATATGCGCTGTGTGGGGTATATCTAACATTAGTTACCATCATAGACAGGACACAAGATTAAACAGAGGATATGATGTATCTGCCCTGCATTGGTAACTCCTACATTTGATAGCAGGGAAGAGGCAAGTGGAAATCTTGTCTTTCTCAAGCATGAGATCTGAAATCCAGTTTGTTCCAGATGCTTCCCATAATCGAGATACGGTTGCTGCTGATTAAACAAGAGCCGTGATTCAGAGTTATATGAACAGTCTTTTTTTCTCCTTCCAGACTCAAGAGTGGAAAGAAAATCTATTGCAGCTTAACTGGCAGAATATGCAAAGTGCCCCAATTCAGGATAAATTTATAGGTTTACCTGGTGCCTTCTAATGTTTTTATAGCAATAAATTTAGCCACTTCAAAAAAGCTCACATTTAAAAGTTGTTCCTTCACAGGGAAAAAACTATTTTTTACAGGAATTGGGCTTGCATTTTTTTAGCCTCTCTCAGGAAACCTGCCCTACATGGGAAAAGGGTGGAGGGTAATCCCATCTTACACTTAACTCCCTGAAGGTGCTGGAAACCCAAGCAGCTCATAAAATACACCACAAAAGTCTTTATCATTCATCACCAGCTTTATGAAAGTTGGTATCACCGACAGCAGTTGGCCACAGAGAACCGAGGCCAAAACATAGATTATGCTGCCTGAAGCCATGACAGAAACTTTTGTTTCAATGTGTTGTGCTTACAGGGGAGCAGCCGCCTTGACCTGGCTGCGAGGAAATGAACCACACACAGATGACAACAGATGGCACGTATACAGCCATGCATGCCGAAGCACCTCACGGGAAATCTGCAGCACGCTTAACACCAGCAATGCTATCGCCAATGACACCGGTTACTTCACCTGTGGTTACAGCAGCTTCTCTTCTAGTAAAGCCCCAGTGGTCAAGATATACGTGTTTGTTAAAGGTAAGAGCTTCCTTCTTTCAGAGCTTCTGCTCACTTTGCCATACTAACAACATCTGCTAAAATTTAACCATTGGCTACCTACCAGCCACATCACACCAGTCAGGTGCATTAACAACTCCCTTTTACCTCCAAGCCAAAGGTGCAGCAAATAGATTGTTGCAGAAAGTTCCTGAGGAGGTTTGATTTTGGGGGGCGCCTCTTGGCATCATGGGATCACAGGAGTTGCAGAAGGAAAAGACCTACCTTATCCAATTCTTAGATAAGACCAGTGCCTTTTCTACTCTGTGTCCCAAGTGACATCCGCAATCCCTTTTACTCCTCGATTGCCATACTCTTTGAGAGATTATTTCACAATCTAATTGCTCTTGCTATCAAGGACACTTTTCCTATGATGCAGCCTGCATGTTTCTTTTGTTAATTCCATCTCATTTTTCCTTATATCTGCCCATTTCCATGTGTGTGTGTGTGTGTATATATATATATATATACACACACACACACATACACACACACACACTCACACACACACACACACCATGCCTGCCCTCCCTTATACTATTTTCTTTCCATCTCTGGTACTTAGATGTTTGTAGACTTTTCTTTGCCTTCTGCTCCCCATAAAGCATCACTTAACTAAGACATACCAATGTTGCTTTTAAAACCTGTCTCTCAAATGCCAGTCCTTCCAGCCCAGTGCTCATTTTTTGTTGTTCTTCTTTTAACTTCCCTCAGTTTCTGTATCAGTCTTGGTTTGGGTCAGCATATGAAAATAACACTGTAAGATAACACATGTTATTCTCTAGAGCCAAATGAATAATCCACAATATGTAGTGTGATCAATTAGATTAGCCTTTTTCCAATAATGGAACAGCCATGAGAAAATTATGACTTTTTCAAATTCAAATGACATTTATGTTTTCATCCACTTATGGGTGAATCATAGATAGTCTGAATGCAAGCCATGTTGTTGAGTTGGATACAGGTTGTGGTATTGTTCTTGAACCTTGTTTGGGCAAGAGCACCCAGTACCAATGATGCAGATACTTATACTGATTCATTTATCTTTCAGTTCTCACAAATATGCATGCAGTTATTGAAATCCACTTCTCAGTTGGTTGCTTAAATATTCATGGCAAGTGAATGCTAACAGGCATAAGAGTGGCAGTTCAGTTAAAAATTCAAGCATTCACAGAAAATATTTTGCAATAGCTGCCCACTTCTGATCATCTCACGTATTTTGAATTCTGCTGAAATATAGGAGTCCCAAAAGGCCTGAATTCCAGCCAGAAAGGATTGTGATGTACATACATTTCCAAGCCCCAGTTCTGAACTCTTTGACTTATAATAGCTTGATGCACTTGAATTGTTCTTGCCTCTGTTTTCTCTACTAAAAAGTCATCTTCTACCCTTTCAAGAGTCCAAAAGTAGCTTCTTTGCGTTACTTGTTTAGTTCCTATGTTCATTTTCTTTTTCCCTTTGTGTTTCCCTTCCAGCTCAGTCAGGGATTCTTTTCCATTGCTGGCCTATGCCCTGGTTTCTTTATCTGCCCTGAATCTTGTGCTGAGCTGTTTCCTTTTCTCATTATACATTGCTCAGATGCCCCCATATAATATTGTTGACCCAACCCAATGGTTGAACAGCAGGAAGCAGTGCATTGAAAACATAATTCTCTGTTCTGATTCAGTGCCCTTGCTGGCTTACCGGGACTTCATCAATGCAAAATGCTTTAATGGCAGCACGTGCAGGAAATCTTATGCACCCTTCTGGGACTGCCTGAGTTCTCTCCTTAAGAAAATATCTACAGTTATGAAACTCCTGCCTGCGATGGAAGCAATCAGCACAGAGCTAATCTGTAAAAGCTGCAGGATGTCTTTTTGCACTGCTCAAAACTGGCTGTGCTGGCACCCCCTCTGAAATCAACTTTCGATTACCGTTCTATCCAAATCACCCAAAAAACTGTCTCCACACTCAGATGTGATGTACTTGTGTCATGTCCCCTCTTCACTCTACAAGCCCTCATCCAAAATCCACCTGCACTATTAAAAGGAAATGAAGCCATAAAGTATATAGAGAACTCACAGTACCTGACAGAGCAGGATTCCCATCTACCAGTGAACACAGCCCAAGCTCAGCCACTCTTGCAATGTGCACAGCAGTAGCATAACATGGGGCGGGCTAGTGGGGCACTAGCTCCAAGCACCCAGAATGGCAGCTCCTAGAGAGCCTGTGCCACTGCTACGGCCACCCAGGTTCAGGGAGCTCATGCTGATGCAGCACCCACTACCTTGCACAATGGCAGTGGCCCCTGTGCGAAGAGGTAAGTGTTCGTTTCCCCCCTCCCGGGTGCCAGAATTTCAAGTCATGTCTCTGGTGCCCATTACTGCCCCTGGGGTCTGGCCTGCCAGGCTGGGGGCTGCTGAGGCCCACACTCCTGCACTGGGTTGTCTGATGCTGTCCACTTCTCTGCTTCAGACTCCCCAACTCACTGGCTAGGAGCCTCCTCCTCACCATAGGAACGCATATTCCTAAAGCACTCGGCCCTGCTGTATCTGATGGCTTCAGACAGACATCAGTTACTTCCAAGTAAAGGAACAAAGCTTTCCACTATAGCTACCCAACAGAGGCTCTGACTTCTGATGCCTGACTCTGGCAGTCTCTGTGCAGAGTCCACATGCAGCAGGGATGTTTATGGGGCCGTGCCAGGTGGGGTGAGAAAACTTTGAGATGGATCCTGGAGGCTGGAGGTTCCTCTGAGATTACAAAGCCATTATTACCAGAGAGGAAGGGGAATGGTATTTTTTCCCCTCGTTCCTGGCCTGCTGCTTGACACTGAAATGAGAGCACGATTGTATCGGAAGCCCTGCTTATTGCCTATTATTTCCTGCGCTCGCTTCTGTTTTTACAGCCTCCCTGGTGGAGTCTCACATCGCTGCTAGGATCTGGCATTCGGCAGCTCTCCCCTCCTCCTGCTGCAATGGAGCCTTGACCTCCACACATCAGTCAGATTGGAGGGCACCTGGCAATAGTGGGGGGTCAGCCTCTGTGCCTCTTGAAGGGGCTGTGCACTTAAAAGCGGGGTGGATTGGCTTGGTATTCCGGATGTTTCTTTCTGAAGCCCCGGCTGCTTTGAGCTGCAGCTGCAAGCACTAGGAAGAGTAATTGTAGTAAATTACTACAAAAAAAAATCCCCAAACGGTTGTCTCATGCCACCGTTTTTGCTGGAGCTAACAGTTGGCTAAGGATTAGGATGTGAATAGTCTGTCCTCATGACACCCTGTAACAGTATTAACAGGCAGGTCCCTATGGCCAGTCTAAGTACTTCACTGGTGTAATACGCTAATAGATGCAATCTCCAGACAAAGGTGCAGCTTCTGGGGGCAAGGGGAGTGCAGCAGCTACAGCACTGAAACACAAGGGTTAAGGGATTTAGGATGGTATGTGGAAATCTCATTCTTAGCCCACTGAGGAAACACGTGAGCCCCAGCCCAAGATGTGAGTGCAGGATAGCCTGGATATCAACAGGCTTGGACTTCAGTGCAGGTCACCTGCCAGTGTTAGGACCTAGGGTCCCAGATGGGCTTGTACAGGCAGGGCTGAAACCCACACCATTGTGGCCTCCCTGTTGTTGGTGCCTGAACTAAGCAGATTAAACTAGCTTGGGTGTGCTTGCTCTGGCAATGTAGACATGGTCTGAGCCATGCTGCCTCCTAAGGAGAAATGTGTACGAGAGGACCCTACCATACATTCATATTAAAGCTTGGATAGAAACCAGCTGTAAAGTTGTTACAGGTTTTCAAGCACTAACCTTGTAGCCAGTTGGCTCTTTTTAGAGTTGGGTGGACTTTTTTATGGAAGGATAATTACTTTGCATGTTTGACGGGTCTACATTTATTGTGTGATTAACCAGTAATTGTGTAGTATATGTAATGTGCAGCGGGGGCCTTAGTCCCACACTCTGAGTTAGTCTCTGAGCATTAGTCTGGAAAGAGAATTTATCCAAGATTCACCTTCCTCTTAATGGGCTCTCCTGCATGCAAATAGAGGATACTGCGGGAGTTTGAGTGGGAAATACACAACGGGAGCAGATGACCTCATATGAGATGCTTATCCTGCCATGCAGACATTACTATAGACAGTGAGGTAAATATAGGCCTCAAAGGGTATCTTGACCAGATTCTGGTTTATAAAGAGCTGCTGGCTTGGTCTCCAGGATCATGCCTAAAATTATTGTGACTTAATAATCAAAGCACAAGCCTTTCAACTTCCTTCAGCCTCCCAAATCACCCAGCCCAAGCAAAGGAAGGGTCTTGCATTTGGAATATAGCGGCTTTGTTCAAACAATAGGACTGGGTCTCATCAGGTGTCAGCCAATGAAGCTCCTTGTAACATCAGAGATGCCACCCCAGAATCATGGTAGAAGAGACCTGCTCTGCTGTTCTGCTGTCAGTCTCCAGTTTTAGTTATGCTAGTGACACAAAAGAGTGTTGAATGGGCGCCATGCAATGCCAGTGCAAAAACTTGATTACTAGTGATAATCAGAGCTGGTAAAATATGACCAACCAGTGGTTTGTTCAGATTAGACCGAATCAAACCAGAATATATACAAAATAAAAATTGTATTGTTGAATTAAACTGGTACATTTAAAGGGAGGCAACACACAGTTGGGGACCCCACTTAAAGGTACTTATACCAGCATAGCTCATTCCTGTAAATGCTACACTAATATAACTGCATTTATTTTACACTGTAGTGCTTTGCCTCTTCTGTTAAAGAAATAACATTCCCTCCCTACCAAAATAGTTAAATCAGCACGAACGGCATGTAGATCCAGGCTCGCGTAGAAGAGGGCTGGGCACCACATGGGAAACTAAGGAGAATAGCATGGAATAGAATAGCCCCTGTTCATGCCCCTTTGTTATTTCCCCTCCATGAACAATTACTTGAATGGGTTTTTAAGCAGGGTCTGCACTACATGCGAGCACACCTCTCCTTTTGCGGG